GGTCCCCTCCAAAGCCCCCTACCCCTGCACCCCCCCACCTCTCTACCACCCCCTTACCCCCCCAGCGGGCTCAGCCCCTCACCCTCTCTCTCTGCCCAGGCTTCGCCATGATGCTGGCCCGTGATGGCCCCCACCCGCAGCTGCCGGGGGGCACCAGCCCCCCTGCCGAGGATGAGGACCTCTCTCCCCACGCCGTGTAGCTGGGGGGACCCAGCAGCCCCTCCCAGGGGGCAGATGGATGGCACCGCGGCTGCCAGTCTTCCAGACACCCCTGCCCCACACACAGCAGACCCTTCCCATGGCCCCTCCCCAGCACAGCCCCACCACGCTCACTCCCAGCACTGGGGCCGCGGCTGCAGCCCCCCCACAGCCCCACGTTTGCACCCCAATAAGCAGCTTTGGGAGGCCCCCAGCCCCTGCCCCACTGGTGGTGGCACAGGGCGTGGGGGGCACAGACCCCAACCCCAGGGAAGCCAGGCCCGGGACCACCCCCGCTACCCCCAGTCTCCCCCGAATCAGACACAGCAGCTGTTAAATAAATTTTTAATGCATATTAATGAGGTGGCAGCTTTGGGTCCCCAGCCCTGGGAGGGCCAGGGCTGGCCCCTGCCGGGGGGTGCTGCCCCCCCCTCCCCCCGGAAGGGTGATGGGTTGGAGGCTGCAGCAGGGGCCAGGGCAGGCAGCCCCCAGGGTTAGCGGTGAGGGAAAGCACAGCTTGGGGGGACCATGTGTACCCCCTGGGGTTAGACCCACAGCCACCGTATGTGGGGGTTTGCCCTGAGCACCCACCCTGGGGGGACCCCAGCACCCACCTTGCAATGGAGAGGGGGGGCGTCAGCCCCCAGCACCCACCCTGGGGGGACCCCAGTACCCACCTTGCAATGGAGTAGGGGGTGCTGCACCAGAGCCCCCCAGAACCCAGCTTGCAATGGAGACAGGTGTGTCAACCCCTAGCCCCCCCCCCGGGGGGGGGCAACAGCCCCCTCTATACCCCTTTGGCAGGGGTCAACCCTGAGCCCACCCCGCCCCATGCCTCCCCCTGCCTCCCAGGCACAGGGTGGCAGAAATTCCAGTTTCTCCCCAAGAAAAGAAGCTGGGGCATTCAGCCCCCCCTGGGCCTAGCACCTTCCCTCCCTCAACCCCAGGGCAAGACCCCCTGCGGTGTCACCCCTCCACGGGCTGCCCTGGGGGCTGGAGGGTGCCATCTCCGCCACGAGGGTCCTGAGGCTCAGACCTGGGACTGGAGAGGGCTGGGGGGGTCATGCTCCGTGGCCGGGCTGCTGCTGCCGCTGCTGGAGGGGCTGGAGCTGGGGGGCAAGGGGCGTGGGG